TACTTTTCTTGCGAATAAGCCTGATATAGTGCTGATGGACCAGACACAGTCAAAGTTATTTTGGTCGACATTACCATTCCTTATGGCGAGAACCTCGTGAAAGCCGAAACAGATAAGTAGGCAAAATATCTAGACTTGGCTCACGGGGTGACTGACATGTGGGGTAGTTTTCCAATATAAATTATTCCTGTAGTCGTTTCTGCTAACGGACTAATCCCTGTCAGCCTCTCAGGTCATCTGAGGCGACTGAAAATCCGAGACGGACCGCTTCGTGCTCAAATGCAGAAGGCGGTGCTTCTCGATACCGCGTGCATCGTCCACCGGTTTTTCCCCTTTCCCTCTAACCCTCGGCCGTTTGGTCTCCCCTGTCGAGGGCTTCCATCTGGTTTTGGTTTTTATTTATTAATGTATTTTTATGTATTTATTTTATTTTATTGATATTTATGTATGTTTATCATTTTCATTTACAATTATATATTTATACAGCCCAACCAGATGAAAGAACTCTAAAGATACCCCAAAATGGTTCATTTCACCAACAAATTTTAACAAATAAATTTAAAGACCCTGATTCCTAAAGTAGGTTAAAGCTGTATCCCAGGAACCAGTGTCTTCTCACAAAATAACTGTACAAATTACGTATATGTTTGCAAAAATAAAAATCTATTATGAAAACTAAGCTACTATTATATAGATTTGCATTTGATTTGCAATGTGCGTGATCAGACCAAAAATTAATATTTAAAGTTAAAACTAAAGGTAGTCCGGTTTAACTATAAAATCATTTCGCCACCCATCTATAATAAACCATAATTTTATAATAGCCATTCGTTGGTGGTGTTAGTGAACTAGACTAGGGCCACATATAGGTGGCAGTATAAGCATGCCGTGTACGCCAGATATACAACAACAAGAGGAGCGACGGGCTGCAGCAGGAAAGGTGCACGACGTCTAGTACTGCGATCATCAATCCGCCTGCTAATTGCAAAGATTATTGTAAATCTTTCCTACAACAGACGAGATTCATGTCCAGCACATATTTCCGGGGTGATGGATCGGAAAAAATTATCTTATCCTATTGTTTGTTGATGTCACTTATAGTGCATTATATATATAAAATCAATGAAAATGCAAACTGATATTCAAAGTGTCCATTTTAATTTCATAGACGATTTTTTGATAAAAGGGTTATTTTCAGATACCGCATCCGCAACCACCGATGGCACGTCTAGCGAGAACGGGACCGTAACCGAATCCGGTAGCAATGCCAAAACAAATTGACCCACCCTTTAGGTCAGTCGATTGATTCATATGGATCAGGACCATGTTTTGAGGAGTATTTAGTGGACTTTTGAAGAGCTATATTGATAATACTGACAAAGGATATCAATGAAAATACAAACGTGATATTTAAATTTTCATATTACCAAGACGATTAAGGTTAAAATGGTTTTTAGAAGATACCGCAACCGCAACCACCGATGCCGCGTCCAGCAATACCGGGACCGTAACCGAATCCGGTAGCAATGCCAGGTCCATAAGCCAAGCCAGCGGTGACCGGATATCCCCAAGCGGACGCGTCGACGTCTTCGCTTATAATACCCACAGCGCCGTTTCCGCAACCGTAAGATACGACACCAGCACCAGCAGTTGGAAGCACACCCTCCAGACCAACGGTGCCTAGGAAAGGCAGCTCACCACCGACAGCCAAGATTCCTGCGATTTCGTTCTCTGAGAGAACAGATACTCCAACAGGCGGGATGGGAGACGCGCTGGCAACAGGAAAACCACCGCCGCTAGCAGTTGGAATGGCAGCAAGACCGCATCCAGCACCGTAACCGGCCCAGCCTAAGTCTCCCAAAGGGGCGCCACAGGGAGCACCATTAATCAAGGAACCCTCGTAGGCCAGTCCGTTGCCCAAGCAGTAGGCAGTGATGGTCTGAATATTAATAAAAATGAAAAGTTATATGTCATTCATATGTTATAACTTCTCTAATTAAATTGAATAAAACTACTTTTTACGGATTTTATCGCGTTTAATTAACTTATTTTATATTCCCGACGTTTCGTTTGCTTTCCAGCAACCATGGTCACGGGGGACTGAGGTGACTGACGTCCTGATGTCAGAGTTAACCCGGAGTACCATCAGCTTTTTAATTATTAATTTTGGTCCTATCTACGCAGAATGAACTTACTGTGTCTTGAAGTCTTGCAGTGGTATGCTTGGGTTAATTTTAATTTTATGAATTATAGGATCTCAAGCAGGTGGTAGTACCCTGCAACTGCAGACTTCCCGGAACGTTGGTGCTTCACGTCAGCTATGTGGTCTTCGTGAAGCACCAACGTTCCGGGAAGTCTGCAGTTTGTGATCATATACTAGACGGCCCCCGCCATTACATTAGATTTGATAAACCACAAATTCTCGCGAAAGAACATCGATTCCTGCCAAGGATGATACGTGAGGCTATTGAATTAAAAAAATCATCCTAATTTCAATAGAGAGGGAGGCTGGGTACTACCACCTGCTTGGGATACTATAATTCATAAAATTAAAACTAAACCCAAGCATAGCACTACAAGACTTCAAGACACAATAAGTTCATTCTGCGTAGATCGGACCAAAATTAATAAATAAAAAGCTGAAGGTACTCCGGGTTAACTCTGACATCGGGACGTCAGTCACTTCAGTCCCCCGTGACTATGGTTGCTGGAAAGCAACCGAAACGTCGGGAATATAAAATAAGTTAATTAAACGCGATAACATCCGTAAAAAATGAGTTTTATTCAATGTGTGGTTTTCGCGTAGATATAAGAAATCATTACTCAAATTAAAATTAATATTTTTATTTAAATCGAAAACCACTGTTATTATATATATATATATTTATTTTTATTGAATTGTAAATAATATTCTTGATTAAAGCTATTATATTTATTAAAATCTGAAATCGACAAAATTTAGAACTTGAGAAATTTATTTAAATTAGGACGTGTATTAGTTCTTTTTTTTTCTTACCTGAACCATGAGTGCTTGAGCGAAGAAAAGAATGAATGCTTTGGCAAACATATTTGTTGTGTTAATTGGAAACAAATGTGAGTATAAGTTGGGTCGATTGGGTATTTATAAAGCTTGGAATTATGTATATCGAAATGTTTTTGAAATAATATCACGCAATTCTATGTTCCCTTAAACGTGACAAACACAAACTTTTTAAAAGTAGATATTAAATTCCTACATTTTAATAAATCTGGTTATTAATAAAATATATTCATTAAAAAATTTATGTGATTTTAAAAGTAAAAGCATAATTTACAATCTTCATTATTTTCTACAAGTATAGTTAAGCCCTATTATTAATTACTAATTATTATTAATTTAGTGCAATTTTATATTAATAAGATCTTCATTATTACATTTCGCGTGTATATTTTTCGAAGGCTTTTTGTCCGTTGTGGAAAACATACGAGGACGACACTGAAAGTTTTTAGAACTGGCTACTTGTAAACGATATAATTAAAAATAAGTTCAAATTTCGAAAATAGAACTCTTTGCCAATATTATTGTGAATGAATTTTATTTATTTGTCATTTGTTTACGATTTGGCGGTAAATTGAAAATTGTCCGTGTCACGTCGGCATAACTTAACGCGAGAAAATTTTCGTACAATTATTTTTTATGACTTTCGATGTCATTTAAATCAACAAGAAAGTTATGGTAGACTTCGATTTTCGCCTTTTAAGATGAAGCCTCATCACGTGCCACTGTTTACAACTGGTTAAATGAGTTTAAACATGGTCGCACTAGTCTCATCGACGAACTGCGTGAGGGACGGCCTCCTACGGCGACGACTGAAGATAACATCAGCGTAGTGCGGCGTATGATAGAGAATGACAAAAGAGTGACTTACCAATAGATTCGGACAGGCTTAGGCATCAGTATAAGTTAAGTGCACCAAAATCCTCCATGAACATTTAGCGGTCAGGAAGCTTTGTGCCCGGTGGATACCTCATAATTTGACAAAGGCCCAAAAACTCCGTCGTGTTGATTGGTGTCGTGAAATGGTTCAAAGATTTAACGGAGGGTGACAAAAGCTGGATTTATTGTTATGATCCTGAAAGTAAGAGACAGTCTGCTGTCTGGGTGTTTCCTTCCGATGAGTTGCCAACTTTAATGAAGAGAGGTAGAAGCGTGGAAAAAAAGATGGTGGCCTCGTACTTCGTAAGGATAGGTGATTACGCAACAATTGTTTTAGAGGATCGAAAAACTATTACTGCAGAGTGGTACACTAACAATTGTTTGCCACTTGTCTTGGAAAAATTTCGGGAGAAACGACCTCGCAGTAGGATCCTCCTTCACCACGACAACGCCTGGTCGCACACCGCCAAGCAAACAATCGAATACTTGTTACTTTTACTGGGTCACCCGTCTTATAGCCCCGAGGTGCGAGCACCTTACGATTTTTATTTATTTTCAAAAATAAAGAACAAAACTTCGAGGAAAACGTTTTATGGACGCCGAGGAAGCAATGGCTGCGTTTCAAAATGCCTTCAAAGAGACCCCTAAGGACAAGTGGCTAAAGTGCTTTTCTCAGTGGTTCCATCGGATGCAGCGATGTATTGATGTGAAACTAATAACTTGCCAGTTTGTTCAGTTTTTGATTTTCTAAGAATTTCATTATCACTCTCATAGTGCATTATTCTAGTCGTTGATTTATATCTAAATTTTTGCTCATACTTATTTTTCTGGGTTAGCATGCGTCTGTTTTCCATACATTTTATTTGTTATGTAATTCTTGAAATTTAAACAAAAATTTGTCATGCTCCACAACAAGTGAAACACATGTGAATGTCTCATCGATATAATGCTTTTACGGAATACGTTTAGGTTTACTTTGTGGTTACGAAATTATTTTTAATCGTACTCAATAAAGAGTATATAATGCATTGTTTTTACATTTTTGAATCACTTTAGACATCGTGCAGTTAGAAAAACCTTAAACATGTCTTCTTTCGCTTTCTTCTTGCTGTGCGTTCAAGCGTGCTTGATCCAGGTAAAACTATCAAATTTATTAAAATTTTACTATAAAATAATTATAATTTAAAAAAAAACAACCGACTTTTAATCCGTGTGTTTGAAATTATTTTATATTCATGAATCAATTTTGCCACTATATTCCATAAATCCATTATTAACCAAGTCAGTTAAGACTTTCACGGCATATTGTAAAGATATTTCTCCATTTTCAGAATGTATACAGTCAGTGTCTCGGAGCTGGACTTGGTTTAGGATATGCTCCAGGATTGGCCACTGAATTAGCTTACGGACCTGGATTAGGTCTTGGATACGGTCTCGCTGGGACTGGCGCCCTTGGCAACTTAGGGTGCAATCCTGGTCCAGTCTACGGGGGCACAGGCATCGGTGACGTAGCGGTCGCAGGCGAGTTGGGTGTCGCTGGTAGCACCCTAGTAGCCGGCCAGGTGCCGATTCTGGGCGCTGTTAGATTCGGTGGTGAAGTTCCAGCTGGTGGTTGTGTCTCCATCACCGGAAGCTGCAGCGGAAACTGTGGTTGCGGTTGCAATGGTGGTTACCTGTACTGAAGTTAGACAATTAACAGCTTGCAAATGTCAAATACATTTATTTACATAACATAATATACAATATTTTATTATATACAATATTAAAAACTATAATAAAAAGATCTAAAACTAGTAACTTAATTATCATATTGTCCTACTTGTTGGCTGCGTTTCCCTGCTGAATAGCTATACTTAGAATTTGAGCGAGAAAAGAACCAGCCCTCTTATCACCAGCAGCAACGACCAGCCGCGGATGGAGTTCCTTTAGGAACTCACCGCACATGGACCCAACGATCGATAGTCTCTACAGCAAATGACACAAATATGTAGTCAGACTCATATTTGCGCCACTTACTCAGTTCAGCTGCTGTTCAGCTCTGATGCCGCCCCGGCCTTAAAGAGGTGTGAAATGTTATAAATCTAATGACAAATTGAAAATAATTACAAATTATTAACTAAATTGTAGATTTTTACTCGATGATGCTCTCCTTTCTCTCTTTTTTCCTGACACATTCTGTAAGACTAAAAGTGAATGCGTGGTGATATGGTGTAGTGAATTCTCTTACACAGATAATACACGACGATTTCAAATTCAGACTTGAATTACAAAAAATTATATTATACTGACCAGTTTCGACTTACGAATCATCAACGATATCTGGGAATACTATGAATATAGATAAAAAAATAATAAAACTACTCTTTTCATATCTTGATTTTGACACAAGTTTAATACACTGATGGAAATAAAGTTCAATTTCGCTTGAAAAGTTTAGAAAAATATTGTACTTACAGTTTGCACTTCACAATCAACTTGATTCACTATTTACGCAGGCAATGACATCTGAAGCTGTTGCATCTTCTTTTTTTTTGCCTTAGGTTTTCGACAGCAAGCACCAACCACTTGCAGCAGCACCACCGCAGTTCACACTAAGTTTGCACTATGGCACACGGCGCTTCTGGCGCTACAGCTTAACCGCGTACTCGGTATGTGCAGCGATCCACTGCGAGTACGCAGGAGTGGTCCTAATAAAGAACAAAACTTCTCCAAATATATTTGAGATAATCCGACTCGAAAAACCAACTGTTTATTGGTTGATCTTGTTGAACTATGTTGAACTAATTTGGGTTTTTTTAAAAATAAAATAGGGTGACAAACGAGCACACAGTCCACCTGATGGTAAGTAGTTGCTGTGGCCCATAGACATCTACATCTATCCTCGTTTGGGAAAGAATGCAGATGCATTGTCACCCGTGAGGACTAAGATGGAATGCCTCTTTTCCAGTAAAAGGGTCTCCGGTTCCCTACACTCACCATACGAAACACAGCAGTGTTAATCTGTTATTTTACGCTGGTATTCTGTGAGAGCGTGGTCCTTCCCCGGTCGAGCCGACCCATTCGTGCTACAACTATACTACTAATATAGCTGCAGCATGGCTCTACCACGTACAAGAGAGTACTAAATAGAGTTGGGTATTATAGAGGTTACAATAAATCACTATGTACTTGATCTGAATTCTTCAATTTATTTATTTGACTTAAGGGTTGGCGTTGAATGAACGAACAGTTTATTTGCCGTCGACTGTTACACCGATTTATAGTCTACTAATAAACTAGTTTACTCGTGAACGACATTTTGCATCGCGCAGTACAAATACATTCGAGCGTTTGCCAAAACTGTTTCGTTGACCACTCGCCGATCAAGGATTCCACTCTCTTCACACCTGTTAGGTCATGCCTGTCCTTATGCATACCTTCGGTATACTCAGGTAGACTCAGACCGAACTGAACACTATGGATAAAAAATTCCGCACTGTAATGACGTCCCACAGTATTCATCACCCGAGATCGTCAGTAATGAGGCTGTACTTGCCACGGAAACTTGGTGAACGCGGCGTAAGATCAGGTTATTTAGACCACCAATCATCGGATATACATCCTAAAGGATAGCGTCGTCCACATCTGTCGAGGTTGTCACCATCCCGTATTAGCCAGGATTCTACACCAGAAGCTCGCTCTGAAATACGGTCTCGTGGATCGGAAAGTACCATATTATAAGTACTTTCCGGAAGCCGTTCTCGAAAATAACCGCTCCAGGCTTTACTGGGACCGGGCCTTAATCACAGACAATACTTTTCTTGCGAATAAGCCTGATATAGTGCTGATGGACCAGACACAGTCAAAGTTATTTTGGTCGACATTACCATTCCTTATGGCGAGAACCTCGTGAAAGCCGAAACAGATAAGTAGGCAAAATATCTAGACTTGGCTCACGGGGTGACTGACATGTGGGGTAGTTTTCCAATATAAATTATTCCTGTAGTCGTTTCTGCTAACGGACTAATCCCTGTCAGCCTCTCAGGTCATCTGAGGCGACTGAAAATCCGAGACGGACCGCTTCGTGCTCAAATGCAGAAGGCGGTGCTTCTCGATACCGCGTGCATCGTCCACCGGTTTTTCCCCTTTCCCTCTAACCCTCGGCCGTTTGGTCTCCCCTGTCGAGGGCTTCCATCTGGTTTGGTTTTTATTTATTAATGTATTTTTATGTATTTATTTTATTTTATTGATATTTATGTATGTTTATCATTTTCATTTACAATTATATATTTATACAGCCCAACCAGATGAAAGAACTCTAAAGATACCCCAAAATGGTTCATTTCACCAACAAATTTTAACAAATAAATTTAAAGACCCTGATTCCTAAAGTAGGTTAAAGCTGTATCCCAGGAACCAGTGTCTTCTCACAAAATAACTGTACAAATTACGTATATGTTTGCAAAAATAAAAATCTATTATGAAAACTAAGCTACTATTATATAGATTTGCATTTGATTTGCAATGTGCGTGATCAGACCAAAAATTAATATTTAAAGTTAAAACTAAAGGTAGTCCGGTTTAACTATAAAATCATTTCGCCACCCATCTATAATAAACCATAATTTTATAATAGCCATTCGTTGGTGGTGTTAGTGAACTAGACTAGGGCCACATATAGGTGGCAGTATAAGCATGCCGTGTACGCCAGATATACAACAACAAGAGGAGCGACGGGCTGCAGCAGGAAAGGTGCACGACGTCTAGTACTGCGATCATCAATCCGCCTGCTAATTGCAAAGATTATTGTAAATCTTTCCTACAACAGACGAGATTCATGTCCAGCACATATTTCCGGGGTGATGGATCGGAAAAAATTATCTTATCCTATTGTTTGTTGATGTCACTTATAGTGCATTATATATATAAAATCAATGAAAATGCAAACTGATATTCAAAGTGTCCATTTTAATTTCATAGACGATTTTTTGATAAAAGGGTTATTTTCAGATACCGCATCCGCAACCACCGATGGCACGTCTAGCGAGAACGGGACCGTAACCGAATCCGGTAGCAATGCCAAAACAAATTGACCCACCCTTTAGGTCAGTCGATTGATTCATATGGATCAGGACCATGTTTTGAGGAGTATTTAGTGGACTTTTGAAGAGCTATATTGATAATACTGACAAAGGATATCAATGAAAATACAAACGTGATATTTAAATTTTCATATTACCAAGACGATTAAGGTTAAAATGGTTTTTAGAAGATACCGCAACCGCAACCACCGATGCCGCGTCCAGCAATACCGGGACCGTAACCGAATCCGGTAGCAATGCCAGGTCCATAAGCCAAGCCAGCGGTGACCGGATATCCCCAAGCGGACGCGTCGACGTCTTCGCTTATAATACCCACAGCGCCGTTTCCGCAACCGTAAGATACGACACCAGCACCAGCAGTTGGAAGCACACCCTCCAGACCAACGGTGCCTAGGAAAGGCAGCTCACCACCGACAGCCAAGATTCCTGCGATTTCGTTCTCTGAGAGAACAGATACTCCAACAGGCGGGATGGGAGACGCGCTGGCAACAGGGAAACCACCGCCGCTAGCAGTTGGAATGGCAGCAAGACCGCATCCAGCACCGTAACCGGCCCAGCCTAAGTCTCCCCAAGGGGCGCCACAGGGAGCACCATTAATCAAGGAACCCTCGTAGGCCAGTCCGTTGCCCAAGCAGTAGGCAGTGATGGTCTGAATATTAATAAAAATGAAAAGTTATATGTCATTCATATGTTATAACTTCTCTAATTAAATTGAATAAAACTACTTTTTACGGATTTCATCGCGTTTAATTAACTTATTTTATATTCCCGACGTTTCGTTTGCTTTCCAGCAACCATGGTCACGGGGGACTGAGGTGACTGACGTCCTGATGTCAGAGTTAACCCGGAGTACCATCAGCTTTTTAATTATTAATTTTGGTCCTATCTACGCAGAATGAACTTACTGTGTCTTGAAGTCTTGCAGTGGTATGCTTGGGTTAATTTTAATTTTATGAATTATAGGATCTCAAGCAGGTGGTAGTACCCTGCAACTGCAGACTTCCCGGAACGTTGGTGCTTCACGTCAGCTATGTGGTCTTCGTGAAGCACCAACGTTCCGGGAAGTCTGCAGTTTGTGATCATATACTAGACGGCCCCCGCCATTACATTAGATTTGATAAACCACAAATTCTCGCGAAAGAACATCGATTCCTGCCAAGGATGATACGTGAGGCTATTGAATTAAAAAAATCATCCTAATTTCAATAGAGAGGGAGGCTGGGTACTACCACCTGCTTGGGATACTATAATTCATAAAATTAAAACTAAACCCAAGCATAGCACTACAAGACTTCAAGACACAATAAGTTCATTCTGCGTAGATCGGACCAAAATTAATAAATAAAAAGCTGAAGGTACTCCGGGTTAACTGTGACATCGGGACGTCAGTCACTTCAGTCCCCCGTGACTATGGTTGCTGGAAAGCAACCGAAACGTCGGGAATATAAAATAAGTTAATTAAACGCGATAACATCAGTAAAAAATGAGTTTTATTCAATGTGTGGTTTTCGCGTAGATATAAGAAATCATTACTCAAATTAAAATTAATATTTTTATTTAAATCCAAAACCACTGTTATTATATATATATATATATATATTTATTTTTATTGAATTGTAAATAATATTCTTGATTAAAGCTATTATATTTATTAAAATCTGAAATTGACAAAATTTAGAACTTGAGAAATTTATTTAAATTAGGACGTGTATTAGTTCTTTTTTTTCTTACCTGAACCATGAGTGCTTGAGCGAAGAAAAGAATGAATGCTTTGGCAAACATATTTGTTGTGTTAATTGGAAACAAGTGTGAGTATAAGTTGGGTCGATTGGGTATTTATAAAGCTTGGAATTATGTATATCGAAATGTTTTTGAAATAATATCACGCAATTCTATGTTCCCTTAAACGTGACAAACACAAACTTTTTAAAAGTAGATATTAAATTCCTACATTTTAATAAATCTAGTTATTAATAAAATATATTCATTAAAAAAATTATGTGATTTTGAAAGTAAAAGCATAAATTACAATCTTCATTATTTTCTACAAGTATAGTTAAGCCCTATTATTAATTACTAATTATTATTAATTTAGTGCAATTTTATATTAATAAGATCTTCATTATTACAATTCGCGTGTATATTTTTCGAAGGGTTTTTGTCCGTTTCACTCTTTGTGAAATTAAATAATTCCTTTCGTTGTGGAAAACATACGAGGACGACACTGAAAGTTTTTAGAACTGGCTACTTGTAAACGATATAATTAAAAATAAGTTCAAATTTCGAAAATAGAACTCTTTGCCAATATTATTGTATATGAATTTTATTAATTTGTCATTTGTTTACGATTTGGCGGTAAATTGAAAATTGTCCGTGTCACGTCGGCATAACTTAACGCGAGTAAATTTTCGTACAATGATTTTTTATGACTTTCGATGTCATTTAAATCAACAAGAAAGTTATGATATACTTCGATTTTCGCCTTTTAAGATGAAGCCCCATCACGTGCCACTGTTTACAACTGGTTAAATGAGTTTAAACATGGTCGCACTAGTCTCATCGACGAACTGCGTGAGGGACGGCCTTCTACGGCGAAGACTGAAGATAACATCAGTGTAGTGCGGCGTATGATAGAGATTGACAAAAGAGTGACTTATCGATAGATTCGGACAGGCTTAGGCATCAGTATAAGTTAAGTGCACCAAAATCCTCCATGAACATTTAGCGGTCAGGAAGCTTTGTGCCCGGTGGATACCTCATAATTTGACAAAGGCCCAAAAACTCCGTCGTGTTGATTGGTGTCGTGAAATGGTTCAAAGATTTAACGGAGGGTGACAAAAGCTGGATTTATTGTTATGATCCTGAAAGTAAGAGACAGTCTGCTGTTTGGGTGTTTTCTTCCGATGAGTTGCCAACTTAAATGAAGAGAGGTAGAAGCGTGGAAAAAAAGATGGTGGCCTCGTACTTCGTAAAGACAGGTGATTACGCAACAATTGTTTTAGAGGATCGAAAAACTATTACTGCAGAGTGGTACACTAACAATTGTTTGCCACTTGTCTTGGAAAAATTTCGGGAGAAACGACCTCGCAGTAGGATCCTCCTTCACCACGACAACGCCTGGTCGCACACCGCCAAGCAAACAATCGACTACTTGTTACTTTTACTGGGTCACCCGTCTTATAGCCCGAGGTGCGAGCACCTTACGATTTTTATTTATTTTCAAAAAAAAAGAACAAAACTTCGAGGAAAACGTTTTATGGACGCCGAGGAAGCAATGGCTGCGTTTCAAAATGCCGTCGAAGAGACCCCTAAGGATAAGTGGCCAAAGTGCTTTTCTCAGTGGTTCCATCGGATGCAGCGATGTATTGATGTGAAACTAATAACTTGCCAGTTTGTTCAGTTTTTGATTTTCTAAGAATTTCATTATCACTCTCGTAGTGCATTATTCTAGTCGTTGATTTATATCTAAATTTTTGCTCATACTTATTTTTCTGGGTTTGCATGCGTCTGTTTTCCATACATTTTATTTGTTATGTAATTCTTGAATTTAAACAAAAATTTGTCATGCTCCACAACAAGTGAAACACATGTGAATGTCTCATCGATATAATGCTTTTACGGAATACGTTTAGGTTTACTTTGTGGTTACGAAATTATTTTTAATCGTACTCAATAAAGAGTATATAATGCATTGTTTTTACATTTTTGAATCACTTTAGACATCGTGCAGTTAGAAAAACCTTAAACATGTCTTATATCGCTTTTTTCTTGCTGTGCGTTCAAGCGTGCTTGATCCAGGTAAAACTATCAAATTTATTAAAATTTTACTATAAAATAATTATAATTTTAAAAAAAACAACCGACTTTTAATCCGTGTGTTTGAAATTATTTTATATTCATGAATCAATTTTGCCACTATATTCCATAAATCCATTATTAACCAAGTCAGTTAAGACTTTCACGGCATATTGTAAAGATATTTCTCCATTTTCAGAATGTATACAGTCAGTGTCTCGGAGCTGGACTTGGTTTAGGATATGCTCCAGGATTGGCCACTGAATTAGCTTACGGACCTGGATTAGGTCTTGGATACGGTCTCGCTGGGCCTGGCGCCCTTGGCAACTTAGGGTGCAATCCTGGTCCAGTCTACGGGGGCACAGGCATCGGTGACGTAGCGGTCGCAGGCGAGTTGGGTGTCGCTGGTAGCACCCTAGTAGCCGGCCAGGTGCCGATTCTGGGCGCTGTTAGATTCGGTGGTGAAGTTCCAGCTGGTGGTTGTGTCTCCATCACCGGAAGCTGCAGCGGAAACTGTGGTTGCGGTTGCAATGGTGGTTACCTGTACTGAAGTTAGACAATTAACAGCTTGCAAATGTCAAATACATTTATTTACATAACATAATATACAATATTTTATTATATACAATATTAAAAACTATAATAAAAAGATCTAAAACTAGTAACTTAATTATCATATTGTCCTACTTGTTGGCTGCGTTTCCCTGCTGAATAGCTATACTTAGAATTTGAGCGAGAAAAGAACCAGCCCTCTTATCACCAGCAGCAACGACCAGCCGCGGATGGAGTTCCTTTAGGAACTCACCGCACATGGACCCAACGATCGATAGTCTCTACAGCAAATGACACAATATGTAGTCAGACTCATATTTGCGCCACTTACTCAGTTCAGCTGCTGTTCAGCTCTGATGCCGCCCCGGCCTTAAAGAGGTGTGAAATGTTATAAATCTAATGACAAATTGAAAATAATTACAAATTATTAACTAAATTGTAGATTTTTACTCGATGATGCTCTCCTTTCTCTCTTTTTTCCTGACACATTCTGTAAGGCTAAAAGTGAATGCGTGGTGATATGGTGTAGTGAATTCTCTTACACAGATAATATACGACGATTTCAAATTCAGACTTGAATTACAAAAAATTATATTATACTGACCAGTTTCGAGCAGCGATGGAGCGAATTTTATAGAGAAATGTATGCGTGTGATGATCTTAGTGAGGGATCCGGGGATGACGCCGTGACTGGTACGCCAGACCCGGACCTCGATGACACTGAGGTCATCAGTATGAAAGAGATTGAACGTGCGATTCGAAGTTTGAAATGTGGTAAGGCTGCGGGACTAGACAGAGTTACTGCTGAAATGGTCAAGTATGGTGGGCCTCGCGTCTGGGACAGCTTTCATCTGCTGTGCAATTTGTGCTGGCGGACGGGGGATGTCCCGGATGATTGGCGATCCGCAGTCATTGTGCCTTTATATAAAGGTAAAGGTTCAACTTTTGACTGCGGGTGCTATCGGGCGATCAGCTTGACCAGTTTAGCAAGTAAAGTTTACTCGAAGGTTTTGACACGTAGGATGCAAGAGAAATCGGAAAGATTTCTATGGGAGGCACAATGCGGATTTAGACCTGAAAGAGGATGCACGGATCAAATGTTTTCTCTCCGCATGATCACGGACAAGCTTCTGGCTGCTAACCAGAAGATTTTCTGTGCTTTTGTGAATCTTGAGAAAGCATTTGATAAGGTTTTAAGGAAGAAAATGTGGGAACTGTTGCCGGGGTATGGTGTGGATGGTCGATTGCTAAGGGCTGTGCAGTCCCTTTACTGTGACTGTAAAGCCTGTGTGCGGGTAAGGCATGACCTGTCACCCATGTTTAACGTCCAAACGGGCGTAAAGCAGGGTTGTGTCATGTCTTCCTGGCTGTTCATACTGTATCTCGACAGCTGTTTACAGAAGCTGAAAGATAGCTGTTTGGGTGTGAAATTGGGTGACATAAAAGTAAATTGTCTGCTGTATGCTGATGATGCAGTGCTTATTGCACCATCAGAGGCAGAACTGCAGGCATTAGTCACGTGTATGAAAGAGGAATATGAAATTAAAGGTCTCCGTTTGAACGCTAATAAAACTAAGGTTCTGGTATTTGAAAGGGACGAAGAGAGAACGAAGTGTGAAATATGGGTAAATCAGGAATGTATAGAACAAGTAAATGAAATTGTATACTTGGGGAGTGCTTTTAGCCGGGATGGAAGATGTATTTTGATGTGGACAGGCGTGTCGCTGCCGGGAACAAAGTCAATGGTGCCCTGACTGCGTTAGTCAAAAGGCAAGGCGTAGTGAAGAGTGCACGCCTTGCAATACATAACGCAGTGTTGGTACAGACTTTGTTATATGGCAGCGAAACCTGGGTATGCCAGAAGAAGCATAAAAGCAAGTTGAATGCAGTGGAGATGCGATCTCTTCGTAAATATATAAGAGTATAATGCATTGTTTTTACATTTTTGAATCACTTTAGACATCGTGCAGTTAGAAAAACCTTAAACATGTCTTCTTTCGCTTTCTTCTTGCTGTGCGTTCAAGCTTGCTTGATCCAGGTAAAACTATCAAATTTATTAAAATTTTACTATAAAATAAGTATATTATATAATTTTAAAAAAAACAACCTATTTTTAATCCGTGTGTTTGAAACTATTTTATATTCATGAATCAATTTTGCCACTATATTCCATAAATCCATTATTAACCAAGTCAGTTAAAACTTTCACGGCATATTGTAAAAATATTTCTCCATTTTCAGAATGTATACAGTCAGTGTCTCGGAGCTGGACTTGGTTTAGGATATGCTCCAGGATTGGCCACTGAATTAGCTTACGGACCTGGATTAGGTCTTGGATACGGTCTCGCTGGCCCTGGCGCCCTTGGCAACTTAGCGTCCATTCCTGGTCCAGCCTACGGGGGCACAGGCATCGGTGACGTAGCGGTCGCAGGCGAGATGGGTGTCGCTGGTAGCACCCTAGTAGCCGGCCAGGTGCCGATTCTGGGCGCTGTTAGATTCGGTGGTGAAGTTCCAGCTGGTGGTTGTGTCTCCATCACCGGAAGCTGCAGCGGAAACTGTGGTTGCGGTTGCAATGGTGGTTACCTGTACTGAAGTTAGACAATTAACAGCTTCCAAATGTCAAATACATTTATTTACATAACATAATATACAATATTTTATTATATACAATATTAAAAACTATAATACAAAGAACTAAAACTAGTAACTTAATTATCATATTGTCCTAATCGTTGGCTGCGTTTCCCTGCTGAATAGCTATAGTTAGCCTTTGAGCGAGAAAAGAACCAGCCCTCTTATCACCAGCAGCCACGACCAGCCGCGGATCGAGTTCCTTTAGGAACTCACCGCACATGGACCCAACGGTCGATACTCTCTACAGCAAATAACACAAATATGTAGTCATCTCTCAGATACTCATATTTGCGCCACTTACTCAGTTCAGCTGCTGTTCAGCTCTGATGCCGCCCCGGCCTTAAAGAGGTGTGAAATGTTATAAATCTAATGACAAATTGAAATTAATGACAAATTATTAACTAAATTGCAAATTTTTTCTGATCCTCACCTTTTCTCTTCTTTCCTGACACATTCTGTAAGACTAAAAGTGAATGCGTGGTGATATGGTGTAGTGAATTCTCTTACACAGATAATACACGACGATTTCAAATTCAGACTTGAATAACAAAAATTTCATTATACTGACCAGTTTCGACTTACGAATCATCAACGATATCTGGGAATACTATGAATATAGATAAAAAAATAATAAAACTACTCTTTTCATATCTTGATTTTGACACAAGTTTAATACACTGATGGAATAAAGTTCAATTTCGCTTGAAAAGTTTAGAAAAATATTGTACTTACAGTTTACACTTCACAATCAACTTGATTCACTATTTACGCAGGCAATGACATCTGAAGCTGTTGCATCTTCTTTCTTATAATTACTGTTTATAGATTAAAAGATGCTAACTAGCGTACGTGAGGGTAACATGCTTACTTTCTTACAACTCGAAAACTACAGCTTTGTTCGCATATATGGATGGCTCTTTGATTCGATAGCTCTTCGTCACTCAATCAAATAATAAAAAGTCAAAAGACCGCTACTTTATCGACGTCAGTTTGACAGTTGACAGACAAATATGATTATTATTTGTCTTTTAAAGTTGATTTTTCATATTCTTTCTAATTATTGCCAAAGCTTGTTCGCTATTTTTGGTATCCTTGGGTTTTCGACAGCAAGCACCAACCACTTACAGCAGCACCACCGCAGTTCACACTAAGTTTGCACTATGGCACACGGCGCTTCTGGCGCTACAGCTTAACCGCGTACTCGGTATGTGCAGCGATCCACTGCGAGTACGCAGGAGTGGTCCTAATAAAGAACAAAACTTCTCCAAATATATTTGAGATAATCCGGCTCGGAAGACCAACTGTTTATTGGTTGATCTTGCTGAACTATAGATCTATTGGACTATGTTGAACTAATTTGTTTTTTTTTTTATTGGATAGGGTGACAAACGAGCACACAGTCCACCTGATGGTAAGTGGTTCCTGTGGCCCATATACATCTACATCTATCCTCGTTTGGGAAAGAATGCAGATGCGTTGTCACCAGTGAGGACTAAGATGGAATGCCTCTTTTCCAGTAAAAAGGGTCTCCGGTTCTCTACACTCACCATACGAAACACAGCAGTGTTAATCTGTTATTTTACGCTGGTATTCTGTGAGAGCGTGGTCCTTCCCCGGTCGAGCCGACCCATTCGTGCTACAACTATACTACTAATATAGTTGCAGCATGGCTCTACCACGTACAAGAGAGTACTATAGAGTTGGGTATTATAGAGATTACAATAAATCACTATGTACTTGATCTGAATTCTTCAATTTATTTATTTGACTTAAGGGTTGGCGTTGCATGAACGAACAGTTTATTTGCCGTCGACTGTTACACCGATTTATAGTCTACTAATAAACTAGTTTACTCGTGAACGACATTTTGCATCGCGCAGTACAAATACATTCGAGCGTTTGCCAAAACTGTTTCGTTGACCACTCGCCGATCAAGGATTCCATTCTCTTCACACCTGTTAGGTCATGCCTGTCCTTATGCATACCTTCGGTATACTCAGGAAGACTCAGACCGAACTGAACACTATGGATAAAAAATTCCGCACTGTTATGACGTCCCACAGTATTCATCACCCGAGATCGTCAGTAATGAGGCTGTACTTGCCACGGAAACTTGGTGAGCGCGGCGTAGGATCAGGTTATTTAGACCACCAATCATCGGATATACATCCTAAAGGATAGCGTCGTCGACATCTGTCGAGGTTGTCGCCATCCCGTATTAGCCAGGATTCTACACCAGAAGCTCGCTCTGAAATATGGTCTCGTGGATCGGAAAATACCATAATATAAGGACTTGCCGGAAGCCGTTCTCAAAAATAACCGCTCCAGGCTTTACTGGGACCGGGTCTTCATCACAGACAGTACTTTTCTTGCGAATAAGCCTGATATAGTGCTGATGGACTAGACACAGTCAAGGTTATTTTGGTCGACATTACCATTCCTTATGGCGAGAACCTCGTGAAAGCCGAAACAGATAAGTAGGCAAAATAACTAGATTTGGCTCACGGGGTGACCGATATGTGGGGTAGTTTTCCAAAATAAATTATTCCTGTAGTCGTTTCTGCTAACGGACTAATCCCTGTCAGCCTCTCAGGTCATCTGAGGCGACTGGAAATCCGAGACGGACCGCTTCATGCTCAAATGCAGAAGGCGGTGCTTCTCGATACCGCATGCATCGTCCACCGGTTTTCCCCCTTTCTCTCTAACCCTCGGCCGTTTGGTCTCCCCTGTCGAGGGCTTCCATCTGGTTTGGTTTTTATTTATTTATGTATTTTTATGTATTTATTTTATTTTATTGATATTTATGTATATTTATCATTTTCATTTACAATTATATATTTATACAGCCCAACCAGATGAATGAACTCTAAAGATACCCCAAAATGGTTCATTACACCAACAAATTTTAACAAATAAATTTAAAGACCCTGATTCCTAAAGTAGGTTAAAGCTGTATCCCAGGAACCAGTGTCTTCTAACAAAATAACTGTACAAATTACGTATATGTTTACAAAAATAAAAATCTATTATGGAAACTAAGCTACTATTATATAGATTTGCATTTGATTTGCAATGTGCGTGATCAGACCAAAAATTAATATTTAAAGTTAAAACTAAAGGTAGACCGGTTTAACTATAAAATCATTTCCCCACCCATCTATAATAAACCATAATTTTATAATAGCCGTTCGTTGGTGGTGTTAGTGAACTAAACTAGGGCCTCATATAGGTGGCAGTATAGGCATGCCGTGTACGCGAGATATACAACAACAAGAGGAGCGACGGGCTGCAGCAGCAAAGGTGCGCGACGTCTAGTACTGCGATCATCAATCCGCCTGCTAATTGCAAAGATTATTGTAAATCTTTCCTACAACAGACGAGGTTCATGTCCAGCACATATTTCCGGTGTGATGGATCGGAAAAAATTATCTTATCCTATTGTTTGTTGATGTCACTTATAGTGCATAATATATAAAATCAATGAAAATGCAAACTGATATTCAAAGTGTCCATTTTAATTTCATAGACGATTTTTTGATAAAAGGGTTATTTTCAGATACTGCATCCGCAACCACCGATGGAACGTCCAGCGAGACCCGGACCGTAACCAAATCCGGTGGCAATGCCAAAAAAAAATTATCAACCCTTGAGGTCAGTCGATTGATGCAGGTGGTTCAGGACCATGTTTTGAGGAGTATTTAGTGGACTTTTGAAAAGCTATATTGATAATACTGACGAAGGTTATCAATGAAAATACAAACGTGATATTTAAATTTTCATATTACCAAGACGATTAAGGTTAAAATGGTTTTTAGAAGATACCGCATCCGCAACCACCGATGCCGCGTCCAGCAATACCGGGACCGTAACCGAATCCGGTAGCAATGCCAGGTCCATAAGCCAAGCCAGCGGTGACCGGATATCCCCAAGCAGACGCGTCGATGTCTTCGCTTATAATACCCACAGCGCCGTTTCCGCAACCGTAAGAGACTACACCAGCACCAGCAGTTGGAAGCACACCCTCCAGACCAACGGTGCCTAGGAAAGGCAGCTCACCACCGACAGCCAAGATTCCTGCGATCTCGTTCTCTGAGAGAACAGATACTCCAACAGGCGGGATGGGTGACGCGCTGGCGACAGGGAAACCACCGCCGCTAGCAGTTGGAATGGCAGCAAGACCGCATCCAGCACCGTAACCGGCCCAGCCTAAGTCTCCCCAAGGGGCGCCACAGGGAGCACCATTAATCAAGGAACCTTCGTAGGCCAGTCCGTTGCCCAAGCAGTAGGCAGTGATGGTCTGAATATTAATTAAAATGAAAAGTTATATGTCATTCATATGTTATAACTACTCTAATGAAAACTAATATTTTTTTTAAAATCCAAAGCCACTGTTATTATATATCTTATTTTTATTGAATTGTAAATAATATTCTGAATTAATGCCAATAATAATCATAATAATAATCTGAAATCGATAAAATTTAGAACTTGAGAAATTTCTTTGTATTAAGACGTCTATATTAGTTCTTTTTTTTCTTACCTGAACCATGAGTGCTTGAGCGAAGAAAAGAATGAATGCGTTGGCAAACATATTTGTTGTGTTAATTGGAAACAAGTGTGAGTATAAGGTGGGTCGATTGGATATTTATAAAGCTTGGAACTGTGTATATTGAAATGTTTTTGAAATAATATCACGCAATTCTATGTTCCCTTAAACGTGACAAACACAAACTTTTTAAAAGTAGATATTAAATTCCTACATTTTAATAAATCTGGTTATTAATAAAATATATTCATTAAAATTTTATGTGATTTTAAAACTAAAAGCATAATTTATAATCTTCATTATTTTCTAGTAGTAGAATTAAGCCCTATTATTAATTAGTAATTATTATAAATTTAGTGTAATTTTATATTAACAACGTCTTCATTATTACATTTCGCGTGTATAGTTTTCGAAAGGCTTTTGTCTGTTTCACTCTTTGTGAAGTAAAATAATTCCTTACGTTGTGGAAAACATAGTGCTTTATTCTAGTCTTTGATTTATATCTAAATTTTTGCTCATACTTATTTTTATATGTATGCATGCGACTGTTTTTTATATATTTTATTTGTTATGTAGTTTTGGAAATATAAACAAAAAATCGTCACGCTCTACAACATGTAACACACAGGTGAATTTCGCATCGATAAACTGCTTTTACGGAACACGTTCAGGTTAATGTTTGGTTACGAAATTATTTTAAACAATGCATTATATATTCAATAAAGAGTATATAATGCATTGTTTTTATATTTTTGAATTACTTTAGACTTCGTACAGTTAGAAAAACCTTAAACATGTCTTCTTTCGCTTTCTTCTTGCTCTGCGCTCAAGCATGCTTGATACAGGTGAAGCTCTCAAGTAAAATAATTATATTATATAATTAGGATAAATTAAAAAAAACGACCTACTTTTAATCTTTGTGGTTGAAATTATTTTATATTCATGAATCAATTTTGTAACAATTTTTTTTTATATTCCATAAATCGATAGTTAATCAAATCAGATAAAACTTTCACAGCATACTGTAAAGATATTATTTCTCCATTTTCAGAATGTATACAGTCAATGTCTTGGAGCTGGACTTGGTTTAGGATATGCTCCAGGATTAGCCCCTGAATTAGCTTACGGACCTGGATTAGGTCTTGGATACGGTCTCGCTGGGCCTGGCGCCCTTGGCAACTTAGCGTCCATTCCTGGTCCAGCCTACGGGGGCACAGGCATCGGTGACGTAGCGGTCGCAGGCGAGTTGGGTGTCGTTGGTAGCACGCTAGTAGCCGGCCAGGTGCCGATTCTGGGCGCTGTTAGATTCGGTGGTGAAGTTCCAGCTGGTGGTTGTGTCTCCATCACCGGAAGCTGCAGCGGAAACTGTGGTTGCGGTTGCAACGGTGCTTACCTGTACTGAAGTGAGGCAATGATAATTAACAGCCTGCAAGTGACAAATTGAAAATAAATATAAATTATTAACTAAATTGCAGATTTTTACTCCATGATCCTCTCCTTTTCTTTTTTTTCCTGACACATTCTGTAAGATGGTGTAGTGGATTCACTTATACAGCTAATACACGAGGATTTCATATTCAACCTTGAATTACAAAAAATTGCATTAACTGTGCTTCAAAATTTAGAAAGAGGTACGTCATAATTTAATAAACTTACCTGTGGTTTCGGCCGTTTCCGCTGTATTGATCGCACTTCGATATAAGGTTTCTTTATGCGTAATTACTATAGCTTACTATTTTTATTATTGAAATGATATGTTACTTCGTTGAAACTTAATCATTTAACAAATACCATATTTACTTTATAACATATATACTTTATAATATACCAACCCGCTTCGACTTAGGACATCATCAATAATATTTAGGTATATAGTGTTATTATTTTAAAAAAATATATAAAACTACTATTTCCCTGTCAGGAACATACTCTGGCGCGCACACTATAAAGTTTTAAACGAAAGTTTCATTGTTTTTGGGTGTATGGTATTCGTACAGCCATTGAAGACGTACAAACAAATAAATTTTCATTCTTTTGTCAGAAACATTTTCGGGCCCTACCAAATATCTCGACATTATTTTCATTCATTACTGCCCTTCACAAGTCCACTGCTGAACCGAGGCCTCCCCCAAGGAATGCCACAAAGCACGGTCCTGAGCCACCTGCATCCATCGACTTCCTGCATATCTTACCAGGTCGTCACTCCATCTAGTGGGGGGATGCCCTACACTTCGCCTGCCGGTACCAGGCCGCCACTCGAGAACATTTTTTCCCCAACGGTTGTCGTTTCATCGAGCTATATGGCCGGCCCATTGCCACTTCAGCTTAATAATCCGTTGGGCTATGTCTATCACTCTGGTTTTACTGCGGATATCCACATTTCTAAGTTTATCACGCAGAGAAACTCCGAGCATAGCCCTCTCCATAGCTCGCTGAGCGACCTTGAGCTTCCTCATCCGGCCAGCAGTGAAGGACCACGTCTCAGTACCATAGGTCATCACTGGCAACACGCACTGGTTGTACAGTCTTGTTTTCAAGTTTTGAGGTATACCTGACAAGAAGATGTGCCGTAATTTCCCGAACGCCGCCCAACCGAGTTGAATCCGTCGATTGACCTTTCGGTCGAATTTGGACTTACCTAGTCGGACTATTTGTCCCAGGTAAACATACTCATCAACATCTTTGAGCTTAGTGCTCCCAACAACTACCGGCATAGGTGTGACATGGGCATTAAACATGATCTTTGTTCTGTCCATGTTCATCTTAAGACCTATCCGTTGGGAAGCACTATTGAGGTCATTGAGCATAGTGCTTAGGTCTTCCAGCGATTCTACCATAAGGACTATATCGTCAGCAAATCGAAGGTGAGTGATGTACTCGCATTGATGTTAATACCGTATCCTTTCCAGTCCAGAAGCTTGAAAACGTCTTCCAATGCAACGGTGAAGAGTTTCGGGTATATCACGTTTCCCTCTCTCACGCCTCTCTGCAATTGGACAGGTTTCGTACTCTGGTTCTGTACTCGGATAGCCATCGTAGCCCTACTGTACAAGCACTTCAGCACTTCGATATATCGACAGTCAACTTGGCATCGCTGAAGGGACTGCAGCACCGCCCAAGTTTCGACGGATTCAAAGGGTTTCTCATACTCCACATACGCTAGACATAATGGCAAATTGTACTCCTCGGACTTCTGTACCATTTGCCGAAGGGTATGTATGTGGTCTATGGTGCTAAAGCCTTTTCGGAAACCTGCTTGTTCGTGAGGCTGGAAGTCGTCAAGTCTGCCCGCGAGACGATTCGTAATGACTCTCGAAAACAGCACGTAGACGCGGCTCAGAAGGGAAATCGGTCTGTAGTTCTTCAAGAGAGCGTTGTCGCCTTTCTTGAAGAACAAGACCACCGCACTTCTGCTCCACGCCTCCGGTGTAATGCCACCATGGAGGACGGAATTAAAGAGCTTCTGAAGTACTTCAAGTACTTATTTTCCACCCGCTTTCAGAAGCTCCGCTGTAATTCCATCCTCGCCTGGGGTCTAGCCGTTTTTAAGGTGCTGGAGAGCCATTCTAATCTCGCTCAGACTGACGCCGGGATATCATCGGAATGGTGTCGGATAAGACTCGCTCTTGGATCGTTACTTACACTTACGTGTGGCTCCAACGATGATGTGTACAGCTGCCCAAAGAATCTCTCAATCTCACTCAAAATCTCAGGTGTCCCGGAAACGACGCTGCCACACTCGGTCTTCAGATTCGACAGTTGGCTCTTTCTGGCAGACAGATCTCTAGCAAAGACTTTGGAGCCCTGGTTCCGCTCGATCGCTTCTTTGATACGAGCAGTATTAAAGTTACGTAAGTCCCGCTGCATGCATTTGGAGATCTGTCTGTTCAGTTGTCTGTATCCTGTCAAATCTGTTGAAGAATGTAGCTTCATCTCCCGTCTAACAGCCATGAGATTAAGAGTGTGATCGGAGAGTTTTTGTGTTCTTCTTCGGCGGGTCTTGCAAAACTTAGCTCCGTCCGCATGGACAGTTTCCACGAGCTTGTCATTCATATCGTCCACAGAATTGCAATCTTCTAGGCACTGAAAACGGTTTTGTAGCTCAAACTGAAAGGTTTCGGGACTTCGGATTAGAGCACGTTGGGGACGGAGCGTTGACTTCATTAGACGAGATCTCTCTAACTTAACGTTTAGGTTCAGTGTGCCTCTCACCATTCGGTGATTGCTGCCCGTTTTCACCCTCGCGATCACTGAGACATCACTGAACAATTGTCGTCTAGTCGTCATAATGAAGTCAATCTCATTTTTTGTCGAACCGTCGGGGCTCGACCAGGTCCACTTCCTGTGGGGCCGCTTCTGGAAGTAAGAGTTCATCATAAAGAGTCCCTCTTTCTCCATGAAGTCGGCCAGCTGCTGGCCCCTTGTGTTCCGTTGCCCTATTCCGAAATTCCCTACTTTCAGCTCACCGTTCTCTCTTGTGCCTAGTTTTGCGTTGAAGTCTCCCATTAACACCGTATAGTGGGTTTTGGAGGAATGCATGGCTCTAGAGGTATCCTCATACATTTCCTCCACCTCCTCATCGGGGTGTGCCGACGTTGGTGCGTAAACCTGTATGACCTTCAGCGAATACCGTTTGGTATTCGCTGAATTTATCCCTCGTCGACACACTCCCAATCCCAATCCCAAAAAGACTTGTGGACGATAAATCCGACACCTCCTTGGAACAGATGGTTGCCCTCCCGGTGATAGAACAAATTGCCGGATTCGAGGATTACCGTGTCCTCCCCCTCTCTGCGGACTTCAGATAATCCTATGACATTCCAGCGCAACTTGTCTATCTCTTCTTCCAGCTCTAGGATCTTCTCGTCAGTCCTCATGATGCGTGCGTTATAAATTGCCAGGTCGAGTCGTCGTAGGTGGCAACCGAACCTCCACCGGAGATTCTTAGCACCCCCTGCCCAGCCGTTACCATGGTCGCCACCGTAGCCAGGAATAGCGGGGCCGCCTTTTCATTACTTTCATGGGGGGTATATTGCCATAGTTGCCACGCTTGGCGAGCGGGTTGGCAACCGCAGTTTTTTTATTGTTATTTTGCTTTTATCAGAAAGATGCCGCTGCCTATCCTCTGCCTCAGTTTCCCTCTGTCGCCTTTTACGACGCCCACGGGAAGATATGGGGTAGTGAGTATTCTTACCCGCCACTACACGTGGACATAGTTTCACATAATCGAATTAATAGTACGTTCGTGTAATGAATGTCAAGTCATAAATTCTGTCACATGTTTAATATAAAATAATTGAAACAACATTTATATACCAAAATGAACTTAACAAAAATAGATTCTTATGACATTAAAGTTTATTGTCAATTTTAAAGTTAAAGTTATCAAAATGACCTCCGTGATTTTGAATACAGGCCTTCAATCTGCGCGGACAGTCGTCTATCGCAGCACGAACGAGGTCCATGTCAATATCGGCGACTGTACGCCTTTTCCTCCAAGTGTTGCCATATTAAGTAATCTAACGGATTCAAATCTGGACTGGAGGAGGGCCAGTCTTCGTGCCGGATGAAGTCGATTACACGCGCCGCCGCCGCCAGCCAGTCTTGTGTGCTCTTCGCTCTATGAGCTGGCGCCGAATCTTGTTGGAATACCCAGTGCCTGTTATTGAACATGATATGAGAAACAAGGTTCGTCAGGACTGTATTTTGATACACAACTGAATTCGTTTCTACACCTTTCTCACAAAAATGTACCTCTGTTCAGCCCCAATAAGAAACTCCCAACCATACCATGAGCGAGGATGGAAAATGACCTCGTTGGACACGCGGAATACGGTTGCTCGCTTCTTCACTACTGTGTGCGTACACCTTGTCATTTTGTTTGTTGTAGCTCTCTTCTACGGTAAAAATTTTTTCATCCGTAAAAAGAATTTCCCGATATTTTTTACCCGTGTACCGCTTCAACAAAGCGCGGTATCTCTTCAGTCTTAGGTCCATTAGACGAGCATACACCCTTTTCACCGTGGTTCTGCTTAACCCCATCTGAAGGGCCAACAGTTTCTGCTTACGTTTGGGATTTCTTTGAATTCGCGCCTTCACAGCTTTTATCACTGCTGGAGTCCTAACAAACCGAGGGCGACCACTTCTTGACCTGTCATCTACACTAGAGTCTTCATTGTATCGTTTGATGGTACGATAAACGAATCTTTTGGTTATATTCAAATTTTTCAGTATGTCAAAAATTTGAATTAGCGCGTATCCGCAACGATGCAACGCAATAACTGCAACACGGTCTTCTTTAAGCATCCACTCCATATTTAAAAATAAGTAAAATTCTAAAAAAGTATACAGTTTTATTTTCATGAACAATTCGAAATTCGAATTCAATAAACTTTTTTGTGG